AATATGAGGGAAAGGCTGCCAATATTCAACGTTTGATTCAAGATTCTCCAAGCAATGTAATTCATTGTTGGGGGTGTGGAAAAAAGGCCATATACGTTCTCAATGTAAAAGGTTTTTTGTAAGGAAAACGGTGGATCGAGGCACCAACACGACGTCGGAAAACTTATTGTTGCCAGCTTCGAAGGGCGAGGGCTGGCTGAACAAAAGTCATATTAATGCAGACTCTCTATCGAGAAGACCTTGTGAGGACACTTGTAAACACTGCAATAAAGAAGAAAAACATGATATCCAAGTAAATGTTACAAAAATTGTACAATTTGAACTTAATGAAAAAGAATTATCGTTTGAAGGCTTTAGAAAAGCTCAATTCGAAGATCCGTCTTTAAAGTTAATTATAGAATGGAAAAATAGTAATTACAAGCCGTCCTTTCAGGAGGTATCGAACATGAGTCCACTGGTGAAAGCATATTTGGCGCAATGGGACTCCTTGATGGTTAAGGAGAGTGTACTGTATCGTTTGTGGGATAACGCGAATGGTAGCGAAATTAAAGAGAAATTGGTGGTACCTTTCGCCCTACAAATCGAACTTATCAAGCAGTTACATAGCACCGATTACGGTGGACACTTGGGCGTAACTAAAACTTTAAGAAAAGTTAAGGATCGCTTTTATTGTAGAGAAAATGTGGAAGATTATTGTAGAACATGTGACGTTTACAATTCTCGAAAAGGACCAAGTACTCGCAATCAAGCCAGAATGCAACAATTTAATGTTGGGTCCGCATTTGAAAGAGTAGCAGTAGATATTTTGGGTCCTCTGCCTGTCACCGAGCGAGGAAACAAATTTCTTATTATTTTAATGGATTATTTTACAAAATGGCCAGAAGTAATGCCTGTACCAAATCAAGAGGCTGAAACCATCGCAGACGTGTTAGTTGACCATGTGTTCTCACGGTTTGGAGTTCCCATGGAGCTCCATTCAGATCAAGGGTGAAACTTCGAATCCGAAGTATTTCGCGAAACAATGAAGATTATGGGTATTAATAAAACAAGAACGACTCCTTTACACCCCCAATCTGATGGTATGGTGGAACGTTTTAACAGAACACTTCTAGACTATCTCTCGAAATTCGTCAATGAAGATCAGAAAAATTGGGACCAAAAAATTCAACTGGGTTTGCTGGCATATAGGACAGCCGTTCACGAAACTACACAGTACACTCCGGCCAAAATGATGACGGGCCGGGAATTGCGTCTTCCTCTAGATTTGGTCCTTGGCGGTTCCCCTAATGTAAATAGTCATATCAGCTCAGGATGGGTCAGCAATTTGCAGAGAAACCTTCGGGAAGTCCATAATAATACAATTAACCAGCGACCGCATGAAAGCTAGATATGATTTTAGAGCAAATTGTCCTAAATATAAAGAAGGTGATAAGGTGTGGTTATACAATCCACATAGACGTAGGGGAAGGAGTCCTAAACTTCAAAGAAACTGGGAAGGGCCGTACGAAGTAAAAAAAATGCTTCAATGATGTGGTCTACCGTATTCAAAGAGGACAGAGAAGACCTAAAGTAGTTCATAGCGATCGGTTGTGGTATTATAGTAAACACGACGAGGACGTCGATAATTAAGGGAAGGACAGTGTTACAAGATATCCATGAAATAAAAAAAAAATTGAATAAGATTTGAAATTGTACTCTCTTGCCAGAAAAATAAAGTGATTTTTCTTTTGCAAGGATTTATTAAACCCACGTAACAATATCATACTTGCTATGCTTACGCATCGTAAACCTCGGAAGCACGAATCACCCATCACGAATTTTTTGGATTCCGGCTGTTACCAGAGATTGTCGTGTCAATAATATAAATTAGCGCTGTCGCCATATCTACACAACCAGCAATACACTAAGTAATAGTTGGTTTCCAGACGATTGCGTTTTCTGTTGACGCTACTACGGCAAATATTCTTAATGGCCTAGAGTCTAGAGTATTATTTGATCAATAATATCCCTCAAACCCAGGCCATTATTTACCAATAATAAACCAGTAAGACATAAAAACATTTCTCAGTAATGAAGCACACTTTCATTTTGGTGCTATGTAAACTCACAAAACACAAGAATGTGGAAAATCCACACTTTTTCATCGAGTAGCTACAATATCCCTAGAAAGTCGGCGTTTGAGTTGCCATTAGCCAAGACAAAATTATTGGTCCATGGGAAGATCAACTGTGGCGAAAATTTTATGAACAGGGGACCAAAATTTAAAAACAACACTATCTGGCAAGCGAAAACCAACGGATTTATTTACAAATTATATGTTTCGGAAACACCTGTAACGACAAATTTGGCAACTTAATGAAAAAAACGAATATTTCACTGTAGATACTCTTTTGGCATATTCTAAGGAACAGTTGGAATTTAAAGGGGGGCGAACCACATTATACAAAATTCTTAAGGCAATGGGTTATAAACACAGGGAAGTAAATGGGCGTACAATTCTATGTGAACAAGAACATGTCGTTGCAGCCAAAATTGCTTTTTTGAGAACATATTTACAGTTTCTAAATTCTTGTGAAAATTTGACTTTCGTGTATTTGGAAACATGGATCTTACAAAATGGTTCGTCCATTCGTCGCTGGGTGCACGATACTGATCTAAAAAGCAATCCCACCAAAATTAAAAGTGAAGGATCCAGGTTTACTCCTCTCCACGCGGGTTGTTCAACGGGGTTCTTGGATGGTTGTAACAATTTTTTAAATTCAAAAAATAACGACTGAGACTATAATAAAACGATGGACGGGACAATTTTTCAAAATTGGGTGGTTAATCAGCTCATTCCTGATTTGGAAAGTTGAACCAAAAATGTGTGGTGGTTTTAGACAATGTACCGTATCATTCGGTTCAGTTGGATAAACCACGCACTTTTTCTAGTAAAAAATATGAAATGTAGGAACGGCTCTTTAAACATAGTGTTGAATTTGACAAAAATTTTTCGAAAAAACAGTGGTGGGATTTAATTAAACCCTTCAGAAACAATAGAAAAAAAAGATATTTGGTAGACGAGACATTAAGACAAAGTGGCCATGAAGTTTTTAGATTATCTCCGTACCATTGTCAATGTAATCCAATTGAAATGGCGTGAACTATTACAACAAGCATATAAATTCTCAACCTTCATTAAAAAATAGGGTGGAGAATTTATGACTTGAGGCGCTTTCTAAATGTACTCCAAGCATGTGCCAAATTTTTTGTAAACGTTGTGAAAAACTTATTTTGGCAGATTGGGAAAAAATATGGGAAATCTTTGGTACGAATCTATACCTCCTTTCATTATTTCGCTAGGTGAATGTGATTCAGAATCTGAATTTGAAAATGACGGTGATGAGACAGATTTTCATAGCGGAATAATGGAAATGGAGTGATTTGTAGCTTGTCGGGGGGTGATATTTTTACGCATCTTTCGTTCTAAATTTACCAAGGTAGTATGTGAAAAACTACCTGACGTACAACAAAATAAGTATAATTTTAGTTAGATCATCCACGTTGTTAGTTTGCACCAAATTTTAAGCATTTTCATTTTTTTTGTAACTCTTCATGGACCTGGAGAAGGCGTATAGTAACGTTCTTATTAATAAGCGTTTGGAAGTACTTAGTTAAAGCAAATAAAGAGCACTTACGTAAGTATTAATAATAGCTACATATATAGATAAATCACTCAATTTAAGACCGGAAAAATGTTTCAGAAGAGCTAAACTCATCAAAGCACTAGAGCAAGGTTGTTGTCTTTTACCAACTCTTTTAGTAATTTTAGAAAAGTGAAAAAAGAAGTTGGAAGATATGGAAATAGGCTGTTCACAAAGGTCGAAATTTCCATTTCTAAGAAGAGTGGGCGGGCAGAACGAACTGATGATTGAGAATTAAAGATGAGATGCTAAATGTGGCATGCGACAATAGTAGTATGTAGAACCCCCATTCATATAAAAACAATGTCTAAGTGAACTTTTAGTGTTTCTTCCTTACATATGAAATAAACAAAAATCCGAACAACTGTTTCACAAAGCGTAAAGTTTTGTACTTTCTAAGAAATGGATAGCGTTAACTTGGTCATTGCTACTGAAAACTGAAAGTATCGGCAACAATGTTTATATTTCTGGCATATTTTTTAACCTTTAATTTAATAGAACATAACCTAACGAAAAAAGTTCAGGGAATTTTTATTCTTCTACAGCAAAAGGAATTTTTTTTCTGCAGAAAATTTAGAAAAATATTTAATCTGAATTTGAATGAGGATCTCTGATTATGTAAAATGACAAAATAAATGCAGATTTCAAAGAAAACCAGACTTTGAGTAAAATTTACTTTTCCTAAAAGTTGCCTAAAACAAGTGGGTATTTTACCATTTTTCAAACCTAAATTCCTCGTTTTCATCGCCTATTTTAATGACTATTATTTTGGCTTATTTTAGCCTAAAGTCTACTTTGTACTTATTAGGTATCACTCGTAAATCGGCATTGTGATTGCTTGGAAAAATTTTGATTGACATATCTATAGACTAGGAAGTTATAAATTAGAAAGATAAAGATCAAAAATGCTAAAAGCTTGATGCTTTCTCATTAAAAAAAAAATTAAAACCATAGATAAGTTCTACGTAGTGCTTCAGGGATTATTGCAAAGTCACAAAAGACCAATTTACCAGCATCGAAAACATGTATATAAAAACCTTTGTCTAAAATCAGTTAAGAATCACTTCCAAGGATTAAGTTTATTTGTCTCATTTCTAGTTATACCACGAAGTATTTGGCGCGTTTCGTTGTAATAAACAGACACACTTAAGTATCTACTTAACAAAATAAATACGTGTTTGTAAGTGACTGCAACGACACAATTCTAATTTCCAGATAAGATCCCATTAGCATGACGACACTTGCATACTGATATATTTTTCCATGACAAATCCTCAAAAACCGGAAATCAGTAAACATTTTAAAACGGGCACTCACCTGACAAATTGGAGGGCAGAATCACCGCCTTGCCCATCTCCCCCGCGTTGCTCACTGGTGGCAGCAGTACCGGCTTGTCTTCCTCCCTCTTCAGCGGCGGCGCCGGCTCCCGCTTGAAGGGCAACACGCGCGGCGCCGGCTCCGGCTGGTCGTTGCCGTTGTCCATCGGCACCGCTATCCTGTTGGCGGTCCGGTCGTCGCTGTACAGCAGGAAAGCTATCGTGAACCAGGCCGTCCCCACGATCACTATTAGTTTCAACAAGAACGAACGTTTCCTCCACAACACACCCATCTTCAGGGCCACTGCGAACGAGTTATTTTGTTTGGAGTCGAAGGGAGGTTATACACGCGCGCACGCACCCACTGTTCCACGTCTTTATCTTCTTATCTACACTTTCGGATTAACATTTTGTCAGAGAGATAACACTGGCTCTGTATGATAACGGGTTTTATCACAGTGCGGTGATGGGAGAATCAACATAATTCCCTTTTTCCTATTTGATTATGGATGAGGTTGAAGTTATGATATGTGAGACGGGCCGGATCCATCCCTGCAACAAGAACGAAATGTCAGAAGGTGACAGCTGTGTGTTGCTTGGAGACACTCGTTGGAAATTAGCGGATTATGGAAATGGGTGGACGGGGCGAGATTAAATCAGGGGCTCGAAAGTCGTGAGGTAAATATTGGCAACATGGGTGATACGTAGGGGTTGGTCACATTTGCGATGTGTACGAATCGGGATAAATGAAACAGATAGGTAATGCTGCAGTGTTATTGATTTCACTTAGTCATTTGTTTGAAAAAATATTGTACATATAAAAATATAGTGTGTCAGTACTGTCTGTAATAATAATACTAATAATTATAATGTAAAAAAATGGTCCAAGTTTATTTCGACAGGACTTCCCTCAGCCCAAGAAATCCTGCTTCCTTGAAAAATTATGAAATTTGATTTTGTAATTTTTGTTTCTAGATAATCTCTATAAAGCAAAAATCAGTGGCGTAAATAACACTCCCGCAACTTTTTTAACTTGAATTTTTAAGTTCTTTATTTCGTGATTTTTTTTGTTTCTTTAGTTTATTAGATTTGCAATTTTTCGTTTGGTTTTTTAATTCTTTTATTTTGTTCAATTGTTCGATTTTTCGGTGTTCCGATTTTTAATTTTTTGTTTTCCAATTTTTCATTTTTAATTTTACGACATGCAACCTTTCGGGTTTTCATTTTAAAATTTTTGGGTTTTTCCATTTTCCAACTTTTGGATGTTTCAGTTTTTAGATTTTGCAAATTTTAGATTTACAATTTAATGAAATGATTTTAGAATTTTTAGTTTTTCAATTTTTCAAGTCCTCAAATTTTATTTTTATTTACAATTTTTCGTTTCGGTTTTTTTAATGTAAAATTTTTCAATTTTTTGATTTTTCAATTATTCGGTTTGAATTTATCGGTTGTCAATTTTTCAATTTTTCGTTTCTTCAATTTCCGATTTTTAATTTTTCAATTTCTCCATACTTAATTATTCAATTTTTTGGTAATTTAATGTTCCAATTTTACAGTTTTTGGATTGTCCAATTTTTCGATTTGATTAATTTTTCTTCTTTCCAGTTTTTCGAGTGAGTAATTAATTTTTTTTATTATTAAATTTCTCGATTTCTAGTTTTTCAATGTTTCAATTTTTCGATTTACCAATTACTCTTCGATTTGCAATTTTTCGATTTACCAAGTTTTCGATTTTGCAATTTTTAATTTTTTCAATTTCTTGAGTCTTTTAATTTTTGTCCGCTCTGTAAGTTTTTCGATTTTTAATTTGTCAATTTTTCATGTCTTCAGATTTTTGATTCGCAATTTTTCGTTTCGGTTTTTAATTTTATTTATTTTGTCAATGTTTTTTTTTTTAATTTTACGACATGCTATTTATCGAGATTTCATTTTAAAAGTCTTCGGTTTTTCCATTTCCCAACTTTTCAATGTTTCAATTTTTAGATATTGTAAATTTTGGATTTGAAGTTTAATGAGTTTTGAATTTTTAATTTTTCAATTTTCCGGTTTTTCAATGTTCTAATTCAATAATTTTTCTTTTTACAATGTCAAATTTTCCAATTTTTGGATTTTTCAATTATTCGGTTTTAAATTTTTCGCTTCTTCAATTTTTGATTTGAAATTTTTCCAGTTTTCATTTAAAATATGTAGTGACTAATTTTTAAAACATTTCACTTTTTCAAACTTACGACCTTAAAACTAATTCATTTACGCGATTTTTCAATTTTCCGGTTTTTAATTTTTCAATTTCTCGACATCTAACTATTTTGGTATTTTAATACTCTACTTTAAAATTTTTACGATTCTATCATCTTCTGATTTTGCAGTTTTTTGGTTTTTCAATTTTTCGATCTGATTCGTTGTTTCTTTTTTCCAGTTTTTCGAGTCATTAACTTTTTTTACAATGATGAAGTCTCTATTTTTAGTGTTTTTTTGTTTCAATTTTTCGTTTCTTTATTCTTTGATTTGAAATTCGATTTTGACGTTTTCCGATTTGCAATTTTTCGCTTGGTTTTGTAGTTCCTTTATTTTTTTCAATTCCGTTGGTTTTTCAATTTGTTTTTCCGTTTTTAAAGTCTTTCGAGTTCTAATTTTTCAATTTTTCGTTTCTTCAATTTTCGATTTGCAATTTTTCGTTTCGGTGTTTTTTTTACTTTAGTTTTTCCATTTTTAAATTTTTCAGTTATTGGATTTTTCAAGTTTAGGATGTTTTAATTTTTTGTTATTTCAGTTTCTTGATGTTCCAATTTTTCGTTTCTTTAGATTTTACACTTTTTCGATTTTGCCATTTTTCATTTTTTCAGTTTTATGATTTTCCACTTTTTTTTTACTTTTTTGTTGGTCGATTTTTACTTTTTCAATTTTCCATGTCTTCAAATTTTCGATTTCTGTTTGGTGTTTCAATATTCTTATTTTAAAATTTTTCTTTATTCTATTGGATTTACAGTTTTTGGGTTTTATAATTTTTCGATTATTAAGTTTCTCGATTTTTGGTTTTCCAATATTTCAATTGTCCGTTCTTTACATTTTCAACTTTTTCGATTTTGCAATTCTTCGTTTTTTTAGTTTTTTTGATTTCAGTTTTTCCGATTTTTTCTTGATCGATTTTTAATTTCTCAATTTTTCGTGTCCTCAAATTTTCAATTGCAATTTTTCCTTTCGGTTTTTTGTTTTATTGATTTTTTCAATTTTTTTGAATGGGACATTTTTCAATTACTGGATTTTTCGATTATTCGATTTGCATTTTTTTGATATTTCAACTCAAGATTTTTTAACTTTTTGTTTTTTCAATTTTTGATTTGCAATTTTTGTAGTTATTATTTTAAATATGTAATAACTATCATTTTAAAAATTTTTCACTTTTTAAATTTTACGATTTTAGAATTTTTCTATTTTTCAAGTATTATTGTAAAACTTTTCATTTCTTCGATTTTTAATTTTTCGATCTTTAAATGTTACAGTTTTCGACTTCACAATTTTGACAGTTCTATAAATTTTTCTATTTTACAGTTTTTGGGTTTCCCAAATTTTCGACTCGATTCGTTTCTGCTCCTTTACAGTTTTTGAAGTCACTATTTTTTTTATCGATTTTTCAGTTTCTTGATTATTAATGTTTCAATGTTTTAATTTTACAATACTTATTATTATTCTACGATTTGCAATTTTTCTATTTTGCACTTTTAGTTTTTTGATTTTTAAATTTTTTCAGATTTTTTAGTTTTTCGATTTTCAACTTTTCGAGTAAAAAAATGGAAAAATTGTAAAATTGATAAATCAAAAATGAAAAAACGAAAAACTGAAAAATCAAAAGATTAAAAACTGAGAAAAAGTGTAAAATAGACTAAACGAAATATGTTTTGTAAAATCCAAATATTGAAAATTAAACAAATCGGAAAATCGAATAACTGAGAAATCCAAAATTTGCAAAACTCAAAAATTTAAAAACTGGAAAATAGAAAAGTGATAAGCTAAAGATTGAAAATTTGAAAATTTGAATAAACGAAGAATTGTGATATAAAATCTAAAAAATGAAATTAGAAAAATCGGAAAAATGATAATAAATATCAAGAAATTGAAAAATTAAGAAAACGAAAAATTGAACAATTTCGAAGTCGAGAAATTGAAAAATTGAAAAAACTAAAGTTGAAAAGTCGAAAAATTATGAAACCGAAACACCGAAGAAGGAAAAAACGAAATATTGTGATATCAAATAATAAAATCGAAAAAAGAGGAAACATGAAAAATTCGTTCATTAATTTTTGTATTAGAGCATCGAAAAACAACCAGAATACAGCCATAATGTTTTGCATATTTTTGTGAGGATTTATTCGGCAAAATGTTAAGATGACGTCATTAAGTTTTTGGAAGGGAATAAACGAATAAATTTTGATTAACGACTTATTATGATAGGCTAACCTTAAAACGTTGGCAAGATTTCAGAGTATACGGTTTTGCAGCTTCAAAGTCAAACTGCAATGTTGTTACATAATTTTGATTCTTTTTCCAAAAATCTGGATATCTAGGGTGAAAAATCAAGTGCAGGAATATCTTATTTTATAAATTTCAAACCGAATTTACTATAATAAATTTTGGAGATGACGTTATCCAAGTTTTACCATCAACATGATAGTCCTCATAGATTTGACATTTGACAACAATCAGTCCAGTAGTTTTGGAGATTACGTGTCTAATAAAACCACTTTTTCACACTCTTGAGCTCATGAAACGCTCAAGAACTAAAAATTGCCTAAAGTTGTTTGGGCAGAACTTCCCTCGAGCCTAAGTACATTGAAACAAATCTAGTTTTTCAATTATAAAATTTCATTCTAAACACGGCTTATTACGGCAGAAAAAAAAATCCATCGCATGCTCATTCCATTTATTGCTAGCACCTTGTAAATGTTGCAATGGTTGTGCAGAAACAGGTGTACAATTCCTCAAACCAGCAAGGAATTTCATGCATAACTCGCTTCGTTCCGCCGTATCTATTCAATAATAAAGTATAAAATTAATAAAAGAACGTTCATTATTTGCCACAAAGCGGAGGCGTATTGAACGAATTTCTTTCAAAAACCCGAAGTTATTACCGAAAAAGTTGCGCAATAATGCTTTATTAGACTTTTTTAAAAAATGACCAATTGTGAGGAATTTGTATCATTTAATACCCGGCCAGCCCGACGGGGTACAATTTGAATTTTAAATGCGCCCCTTACTTATGCAAATCTCCATAATTCCAGCTCGGTTTTCCGCACGAAAAAATAAAACCCGGAAGACCGAACCGAAAATTAAATTATAACAAAACAATCCGTCGAGATAACTAAAAACTCTCTCCAGACAACAAATTGATGATGATTAATAGCCCAAGGACGTGATTCCGGGCCTGGAGTTCGGACTTGACAAAGCGCCCTCCGGGGAGATAATGTACGGCCAAAAAAGGAAAAATCGCCGGACGTTATTCACTTGATTCGAAATCAAATTGTGCCTGCTTATGTATAACAAGTACAACAAGTCGG